TTTTTTTTTTTTTTTCCTTTTTTGTTTGTTTCGAGACATAGTCTCATTATGTAATTCTGGCTGGACTTGAACTCATGTTGATCCTCCTTCTTCAGCCTCACAAGTATTGGGATTACAGGCATGCATGCAGCAGCATACCTAGAAGTCTATTGGTGTCTCTGGATCTAAAGTGAGTCCCTTATAGCTGTGTGCTCCTTTATAAAAGCACAAATCTCATTTATGAGGGATCTTCCCTGATTACCTAATCACCTCCCAAAACCACCACAGTGGGGAAGTTAGTTTCAAATATTAATATTGGAGAGGCACAAATATTCAGACCATAGCATTGATCCTGGGGTGACCCCATAAAGATGCCTTAACTTTTGAGAAACCAAAGTGACACAGATTTGAGATATTAGGGAATTACTGATTTCTAATAGTGTCAGTATCCAAAACCAGGTGACTTTCTTTACCCTTTTCTTAAAGCTTCTACTATAATTAAGACAATGCTACAGAACCTAAGCAAATTCTTTTCCTGAAAAACTATTTAATATTGTTTGCCCCAGAAAATCCAGTTTACTATGCACTTAGTTTAATGCCAAACTTACTCGGGATTATGAGTTGAGCATTCCTGATCCAAAATCTAAAATGGCCAAATCCTGAAATTCTTTAAATATTAGCATGACATCACAAGTGGAAAATTCTGTATCTGACCTCATGTGATGAGTCAGTCAAAATGAAGATGCACCTACAATACCACATAAAATCTCTTCAAGCTATACAGATAAGGTGTATATGAAACAAATAAATTTCATGTATAGATGCTGGTCCCATCTTGATGATATATTATGTGCAAATATTACAATATTTGAGAAAAATCAGAAATATGAAACCTTTTGGTCTCAGCATTTAAGGGCTACTAAGTCTGTACACCACCAAGGATGCTTAACAACTATAAGGGAAAGTTTATAGCATGATGGTTAAGGATATAAGCACTACAGTCAGCCATATCCAGGGTAGAAATCTACCACTTTCAAACAGTGGGACCCTAAAAGAATGAAATATAGATTTAATAATATAACGTGCTTAGAACAGTTCCTAGCATTAGCCACTCAGCAAATAAGCACTATTACAAGCTTTAGTCTCCAGTAAGAGTACATATAATGGGCCAGGGATACAGCTCAGCAGCACAGCACTTGCCTGGCAAGTGCAAGGTCCCGAGTTCGATCTCTGGTACAACAACAACAATAAAAAAGTATAGGTAGCTCAAAAGGGCGTCAAGAGATAACCTGTTATCTCTATGTGTGTCCAGATTTTAACAGCTCATGTATTACATGAGGTTGCATTAAAAATATTCACCATGAGCCAGACGTGGTGGCGCATGCCTGTAATCCCAGCACTCGGGAGGCTGAGGCAGGAGGATCACTGTGAGTTCGAGACCAGCCTGGGCTACATAGTGAGTTCTAGGTCAATCTCAAGTACATAGTGAGACCCTGTCTCAAAAAAAAAAAAAAATTCACCATGTTCTGCTGGCTATTTAACCCCTACCAATGCCCTCCCCCATCCATCTACTACTCTAAATTATCCAGGAATGTCTCCATAAATAAGTCCTTACTTTATAGGTGAGAGTTACATATATCATTCTTTCCTATGGCTTGTTGACATTTGTAGCTAAGGACTGACTCTACCACGTTCTGAGGTGCATTAGGATTTCTCTCCACTATCTTTAAATATCCTTAAAAGTTTTTTGTTGTTTTTCATTTTATAAAAAGGGTATACTCTATATAAATCTTTTGGGACTTTATCTAATGTGTTGGTAAAATTCAGGCATATTGCTGCATGTCACTGTATTTCATCTGTTTTGGTTTCTGTACCATACCATTAATTTGTCTAACAATAGGCACCTGGATAGTTCCTAGGTTTTTGCTATTATGAAAGTACTAGAAAGTTTTTTATTGTTCATTATTTCTTGTTCTGTACTTCACAACATTACACCCAGCTATAGACCCATCAGTGGACTACTCTAGTATCACACACACATGGTCCAGTCACCTCCCAAAAACCCTGTCTATGAGCATATGAGGCTTTGGGGGACATTTTAAAAATAAACCATAACAACAGTGGTCACTTCTGAAAGACTTAAATCATGAAAAAGCCAAAGAAACAAACATCAGTTCAACTGTCCTGGACAGCATTTCATTTTATTACATAAAATGTAGAAAGTCTTGATTATGAAAAAAATTAAGATTTGTGAAAATCACAAGAATTTTCTTAGGAAAACATTTGCTATAGAATACCTCTGCTCCAGCCATGATGGGCATTCATCTTCCTGACGACCAATGTCAAAGCTCTAGGGACATTACAACCTCTAGATCTTTCCCATTTGTTCCTGAACTTTGAATCCTATATTTGAATGGATTAGACAATGTAGAATACAAAAACCAAGAACAACATCCATGAAAACCTCAGAGACTGGTCCTCTTTTAGTCAGGTACAGTAGGAGCATGAAAGATAAATTCCTGAAAACGTAACTTCTATTCATTTGGCTTTTTTGGCTTGAGGCTTCAGTGTACAGCTGAGCACTCCACCACCCTTCTTCCATTCACAGATGTCTGTATAGGTGCATGTCTGACACTTCCAAGCCTCTTCCACATCCACACCTTGAGGCTCTCGGTGGCCCATCCAATAGGCTATATAATGCTGTACTTTGCCTTTCATCTCCTTCTCTTCAAAGGCTACAATCTCCGTACTCAGCAAAGTGGCAGTCTCTTGATGGATATATTCAATCTTTAAGATATCAATAACTGGGAGGTCAGACAGTGTGAAAGACAAGAAGACCAGTTCCATGAGGTCACCCAAGGACTTCACAGAGAAGCCTCCCAGTTGGGCATGCCTCAGCACAGAAGGCCCCAGTAGCTTGTCTGGACACAACTTTGTGTGATGGATTAGGATAGCAGGGGTCACTTTCCCTTGCACCATGGCATCAAAGATATATTTGTACAGGCTTACTTGAAAACAGTCTTTCTTCTTCTGAGCATCCAGAGGGGGCAAAGGGCGCTTACGTGTCTTGAGTTCAGCCAGTTCCAGTTCTCCCTTGGCTGTATAATGCAACTCATCAATCACGCCAACAAGAAACATACCTTCCACTTCCCCAAACACTGGAAATTCTCTGATGCACCCTTCTGACTGCAAGGTGGGAATCATTGTCAGTATATTCAGAAATTTAATTGCCCAAGCATCTTCTTTCGTGGTGATGGGGATAGTCACAAGATCATGAAGTTCTAGTTCTTTGGCTAAATGGATGCTGGCACCAGTGTCCAAAATATCTGCCTTCTCAGGGGTCAAAAACCCAGGAAGTTCCTTCCCATATGCCATTTGCAATTCACACCAGTTCTGAGTAGACAGGTCAGTGACATATAAATATTTTAGGTTAAGTCTTTCCATAGGTGACAAGGCATCCAATCCTCTTTTACAGTTTTGCAAGCTTATAGGCTTATCATCCTTCTCAGAGACTTCAGAAGAAGGGTCAGGATTGCTAAGTGAAGCACTTGACTCTTTGGAATCTTTCAGGTCCAAAAACTCTAGTAACTCTGAGTCACTCATGTCTGAGAAGCCTGAGACTTCTGCTGACACTATCTCCTCTTCCCCAGCCTCTGCCATGCCACAGCTCTGGATTGGGCAAGGAGGGCACTGCAATAACTTGTGAAAGAAATGCACTGTCAAAATAAAACACTCAAAAAGTACTTCCAAATTCCAATGAGATAAAAGGAATCATAACAAATTGAATTCTTTAAAGAACTCTATTTATGACTATTAGTAATGCCAAAGACACACGTTATAAAAATGCTCCATCATCTATGTATGTCCATGTAGTAGACTTTTCTCCTACCTCTCCAGTGCTGGGGACTGAACCCAGGACATTTGCTAAGCAAGTTTTCTTCCACCAAACAACAACCCCAGGCCTGCAGAATTTATTACAATAGTTTTATTCCTAAATCTGCCACTAACATATTGTGTATGACTTTAAGGAAATAACTTATAGATTGTCTTTTTTGCTTCAAAAGTCTCACTTGGAATATTTTATTACTTTAAAGTGACTACAGATTTCTGTAATTGTTGGATCATTTTGAAAGCTTACCATGAACTACTTTTATAACTCCTTTGATATAGAGTCCTTGACCAAGAAAATAAATCTTAATAATAGACTGTTCCTTGAGAAAAATTTGCCCACAATGACAATTTTTAAATGCAGCCCTCAGGAACATAGGCAAAATTCAAAGATCAACTATAGATAAAACACAAATAAACCTACTCATACAGAAATTAATGTATGAGGTAATAAATAAGTTCATAGTAATGTGGATCTTAGTAGCTTTTCATACCTTAGATATATTAAGGCAATGACAGAGACAAAGCTCTTGGTAGAGCTTATTTAACATTACAGACCTTATAAACTATCCTCTTAACATTATAGAAATTGATGTTTTCCACTAAATTTATTTATTTGTTTGGTAACAAGAACTGAACTCAGGTCTTCGCACTTGCCAGTGAGGTGCTGCACTGCTGAGCTATATCCCTGGTCTGCCACTAACTTTACTCTCTCAACCAGAATTTAGTTTATAATGGGAAATGTCTGTCTATAGGTACTAGTAAAAGCCCAAAATGTATTGCTATAAATACTGAACATTTATTGTGCAGTTATTGTGTGAATGAAACTGAACCAAGAGCTCTGCATTTATCATCTCATTACTCTAATGTGAAACAGGTGCTTTTTTCTTTTTAAATTTTTACTACGAAAAATCTCCAACATACAGAGAAGTAGAAACCACAGAACCAAAAGCATACATATACACACTACGTAGATTAACAACTGTTGATATTCTGCAATATTTTTTGTGTGCCCTTTTTTACCTAAACCACTTTAAAGTTATAAAACTTTAGCTCTAAATTCTTTAGCATCAATTTCCAAATGGCATTCTCCTACATAACTACAATACTATTTTAATATTTAACAAAATAATAATTTCCAACACTACAGTCCATATCATATTTCCCCAACTGTCCTAAAAATGCCCTGGACAGCTTTCTTCATACTAGGAAACAAACATCACAAAATGTGTTTTCTCTCTCAAATATTTTTACTCTTAAAAAATTAGGCAAATTTCATTATGAAGGTACTCCCTTTTATTTATTATTTATTTTTTAATTTTTATTTATTTATTTATTTATTTATTTATTTATTTTGGTTTTTTGAGACAGGGTCTCACTATGTAGTTGAGACTGACCTGGACTCACTGTGTAGCCCAGGCTGGTCTCGAACTCACAGCAATACTGCTGCCGCAGCATCCCGAGTGCTGGGATTACAGGCATGCACCCCCATGCCTGGCCTTAATATTAGTTTTGGCTGTGCTTAATTTTTAAATAGTCTAAATGTCCTCATAGACAAAAATAGAGATGACAGAAGGTTATGTACAATGAACAAAAAATAATGCTAAGACTTTCACTTATATTTTAGTTATAAATTTATAGGATGCTCAATAGTAATATTGATGGCATATGTGCATATTTCTTAAGGTGTAAATGTACTTTAAATTATGAGTTTCAAAATGAGTAACTTTACTTGGACTATGAAGTTCCTAAAAGGTAGAAATGATGTCTTACCCTCTATCAAGAAATTCAAATAGTAATTAACATGTAGGCTCTGGGTTTTTTTGTTGTTGTTGTTGAGTGCAGAGGACAGTATTAAAACCATAATGATTTTGAAAATATTTTATTTCAAATATCTAGATTTGGACTTTCAATATAGTAGCCATCAGCTATATGTGGCTACTTAAATTTAATTCTAATGAAATAAAGTCTAAAATTCATTTTTTGAGTTGCACTAGCCACAACAGTGTCATTGCTCAGTAGCTACATGCTGCACATGGTAATTTTATTTTATTTATTTATTTTTTGTTTTGTTTTGTTTTTGAAACAGGGTCTCACTATGTATTGAGACTGACCTGGAACTCACTGTGTAGCCCACGTTGGTCTCGAACTCACAGTGATCCTCCTGCTCAGCCTCCCAAGTGCTGGGATTACAGGCATGCGCCACCACGCCTGGCTGCATAAGCCACAGATATAGCATATTTCCCTGGTCACTGAAAGTCCTACTGGACAGCACTGACTTAACTATTTCACGTGCACATAGTTACTTTTCAAAGAGAGTAAACTCCAGAAAGATGAGGACACTACACTTGTTTTACATACAACAATGAAAACAGGAGAGTTCTACACAGGTTAAGTGAAATAATATCTTATGGAGAAGGCACAAAGGGGAAGGGCATTCTCTGTTGGATTATTCATCTAAAAGAAGAAAACAACACATTCAGGATGTGATAGACTCAGATGATTTAAATGGTTCATGGACCAACATTTTTAGATAAACTTTTTAGTAACTATGAAGTTAGTAAGCATCTGTCAAATGCTGAATTTCAAAGATACTGTTTCTTAGAATATTTGATTTTTAAAAATAAGTAAAAAGAAATAATGAGAATAACAATATAGGCAGTACACAGCTATGGCAAAAATTGTTAGGTGCTAAGTCAGTGAGATGTTTGGAAAACACCAGCATAGTGTCAAGAGTCTAAGGGTCCTATGTGTCTGGATTCTGAACCTGAGTGGGGCTCAGTAGAATTCAGTAGTATTTTTCTTGCTCTTTGAATAATCTTGGACAAGATTTTAACTTTTGTGGAGTGACTGACTCATCTTTAAAATGAAGGAGAGTGATTATGGTATTCCTTCTAAACTCACTCAGTTACCCAACTGTTTAGTGATAAAGTTACTCACCTTAGGAGGCTTACTAGTGGGGCTTAGTTGATAATCCTCTCACGGAATGGTGGAATACTAAAATGACAAAGTTAAGGGAGAAGAAAGAAGTTCTGAAGATCACGAAGAACCCAATTATCCACTTTCGACCTTGTTATGGTAGAATAGTGGCTTGTGGTCCTTTCTCAACTGACCACTCACTCCCTTATGATGTGGTATTTTTCACTCTGAGCCACACTGTATAGATAGTTGTCCACCCTAGATGCTAGGTAACGTGACTCCCTCTCCTGAGGCACTTTGCATAACTTCGTTTTCCCCACACCGTGGATGTAGTTGACCAGATCTTGATCCCTGCAAGGAAAAGGTTAAAAACTGCCATCCATGCTCCCACAGGAGCTGCAAGATCAGTTCCCTCTTCCTACTCCAGCCTCTACCCAGAAGCTCCAGCAGACCTCAGCCCTTCTGTCTCTCTGATGGGTTCCGTGCTGCCTGTAGATACGCCACTCCCTTCGCTCTCAACATGGGTTGTTCCGTGCAGGCTGAACTCATGGTCTCTAAGTGTATTTGCTTTCCTCTGACCTCACGCACTGTCTGGCTGCCTGGGAGTGCTGTTTGCCCTAAAATGTACTAAGCACTCCCTGCAATGCCTTGGAGGAATCAAGAAAGAGTAAGAGGTCATGGACCTTGACAAAAGCTCTTTAACTACCCTCAGGGTGTTCCAAAGGATAAGGCCCAGAACCCACGGGAAACTGGCCTGTGAGGGAGACAGCGGGATTGCAACGCGGCGACCGCGAGAATACACCTCTCTGGGCTCGGAACGCAGCCGCTCTGCCCCCTTTCCCATTCAAGGGCCTCCCCCAACCTCGAATATTCCGTCAAAAGCCTGACGCCCACCTCGCTTCAACGCTGCCTCAGGAGTGCCTTTTTCCTTCTTCAAAGAAAGAGAGGAAGTCGGACAAAGAGGGATACGAGACGCTCTCATCCGGCCCATCTTACCTCAAAATTGTAGCCCCAGAATGCCCCGCGGCTTCCGGTCGACCGCCCCCTTCCCGGAGGCCTCCGCGAAGTCCACGGCTCGGGAGGCTGTGCTCGGGAGGAGGGTCCATCTCTCCGGGGGACAGGAGCCTGCAGCTATCGCGAGGGTGTGTTTCAGCGAGTTCTCCAAAATCGGCAGCTCGTCTGGTAGCGGGCTGTATGAGGCTTTATTCCAGGGAGCACTATCACCTGACCTAAAACTTCCTCCCGGTGTGGGTCTCCGACTGCTGTAAAACCTGGTCGTTGCAAGTGAACACTGTGCCTTCTCTGTGCCACACTTGGATTTACAGCATCCTGCACTGTATTAGCACCTTGCACCCGTTTTACCGTGTGAAAGAGTAGCCACGAACTCACTTTTGAAAGATGCTGGCGCCAGCCTTATCAGTGTATTATATTTTTTCTTACTTTTGGCCTTTTAAATTAAGAAACAAAGCACAATTATATTCTCAAATATAAAACAAAAGTATTATAATTTTTCAACAGATACGTCATTACTGGAGCAAAGAGCAGTGACAGAGCTTGCCCAAATATGCTGAGGCAACCACCAATATTTTATGACATTTCTTGATTTGCTTTCCAACAAACTTGATTTATTACTTAGGTAGCAATGCACAGCAATGGAGAGAAGATGACTTTTCGGTGAAAGCTTTTATGACAAAGGTATCCTGATTGAAAAAAAAAACAAAAAACAACTTTATCTCACTTCACAAAAATCAGTTTCAGGTGGCTTAAAGACCTAACTGAAATTCTATTAAGGCTTTTCGAATATAACACAGGGAAATATATTTTGAGAATAGGGAATAGGGAGATTTTCCTTAAATAAAATTACAAACAGTAATGTAAGCTACAAAGCACGTCTTGTGTCATTTGGGAAAATTTTCAAGTGACTTGTGTTTTACATAATAGCAATTGTACAAACCCTGAGTGTAGTAATATTTTATGTAGGAAGTTATGTAGGAAATGTCCTCTTATTAGAAATATAGAAGTTGAGGGAAAGCTTTTTAATCAAATGAGATAAGAGATGGTATTGCGGAATTGTTTCTGCCTTCTTCCAAGTATAATTTTCCTTAGCTGGGATTAACTTCCAATGCCAGAAAAAAACAAAACAAAACCAAACATAAAACAACCATCCAAGCCCCTTCAAATATGGACCACTCTTCAAATGATGTTTGGGTTTGGAGAGGATGCTACTGGGTACAGTGAAGCAGAAGAGATTTGAGACACAGTCATGGAATATGGGAAAAGAGTGGTCCGTGGACGAAGGATTTGGGAAAGGTTATATTGGGGGAGGCAGCAGAACCACGGAGCTAAATCCCTGGTCCCGGCGAAGGTTATATTGGGAAGGAGGCAGAAATATCCAACTGAAATATCCAGTTAAGGCTTGATCTACGGGCAAGAAGTATGACCAGGATTGAACTTTCTCCCTACATTTTTCTGCATCTGTTTGCCCTGTATTTGCTCCATATCCAGGTAGCCTCCCTCCACTTTTACTGCAAGTAGTTTCCAAGGCTACTGCCTTCCAGATTGGTATCCAGTGGGAAAAAAGGAAAACACGTTACTCTAACTGTTCACACATAAATACAGAAATTGGCCCTGCTTAGTCAAATGGTGTTATACACCTTTCTTAGCCATAGTATTCTAGGAAATAGTCTGAGACAAGGATTAGGGTGCTTTTTGTTTTTTAACTTGGAAGGAACACGCTCATCATAGCAGGGATAAGAAAATGAAAGTGAAGCAAGTAACAATGTGAAGCAAATCAAGGTAGTGTCATTGTCTTGTGTTGAGTAATTTCACAATAATTGTGTAAAATTTCTATTTTATGTTGTCACTTTCTGGAGATACACCCTTCCGGGTCACTAGCCCAGTATCCTGCCTCTACTTGCCCCATCTCTTAACGGCACATTGAGCTCTGAACCTATGATCTTACCATCTTCTACCTCTAAACATGAGCCCTTTGGGGGACTTTGTAGCTCTAAACCATAACAAGCAGTAAAATAGTGTAATTAGATATGTGATTTAAAATAATTCTAGCAACAGTGGGAAGGATAGAGTGCTCAGACTCCTCTGAGATAGAGATAAGTACAGATTAAAAACCCAAAACTCAGTTGGCAATCTATTTAAGCAGTTAGGAAGCAGTAGGAATCTAAGGGTCTGGCTATGGAAATGGCAAGAAGATAACCTGAGGATATCCTAAGTACAATATGCAGTATTTGTTGACTGGGGGAGGTAATAAATGAGAGGGATTTCAGCTGGGGAATTGGATCAGTGGTAGCACTTTCTGAGTTAAGGAACACAGAATTTATTGGAAAAAAAAGTTTTGACTTTTTGAAAAAAAGTTGAATTCTGAGGTGACTATGGGATATCCTAGTGCCAGTATCTACTAGGATACAGATTTCTGATATGTAGAAGTAAGAAATGTTGGAATAGCAAACAAAATGTGTAGCTAAAAAGGAGGATGTGATCAGCAGAAGTGCACCAGGAGGTAAAACAGGTACTAACAACAGACCAAGCTAGTGGGTGGACTCTGAAGCATAACATTAAAGACCTCTTGGGGCAGTTCAACAGATCTAAGTAGTAAACCCTTTTTTTTTTTATAATGGCAAACAGTGGCTATATGCAGCCAATTAAAGGAAGGTGCCCGGGAAACCAGGATGACAATTTTTTTTTTTTTTTTTTATACAGGGTCTCCCCATGTAGGGGGCTTACCTGTAATGGCAAACAGTGGCTATATGCAGCCAATTAAAGGAAGGTGCCCGGGAAACCAGGATGACAATTTTTTTTTTTTTTTTGAGACAGGGTCTCACTATGTAGGTGAGACTGACCTGGAACTCACTATGTAGCCCAGGCTGGTCTCAAACTCACAGCAATCCTCCTGCCTCAGCCTCCCAAGTGCTGGGCTTACAGGCGTGTGCCACCACACCCGGCCTAGGATGAAAAAATTTAGATAATCTCGATATAAGTCAGTTATGAGCACATGGATAATTTAAAGAGGAATCTCTGTTTCTTCAGCTATAAAGTTGAGAGGTTTAGACTAGGTGTTTCCAGATTCTTTGCAGTTCTAACATTCTGATCCTCTGAGCTAACAATGAAGAATGGGTGGGTTTTGGAATTCTATGAACAGTAACCCCTTCTGGGAACTACTTTTGTGCCCTTCCAGCCACTCACTACACCATCCACATAGTTCCCACAGAAGTTGAGATCTCTGCCTACTATTGATTTCTTTGGAGGGTGGGCACCTGACCTAGCTGAGCCAATAAAAACCCTTCCTCAGGAATTTGAGATGGGAAGTGAGAAAAAGCTTTTCTCTGCTGATGGCTGACTGTAATTGATTTGCCCTCAGATGTTATTTTTAAAATAAAAGCTAGAATGAAGACAAAGTGGTAGAGAAGTGCTATACAATAAGACAGGCCCTTGCCTTGCCTCCATTTTTTTCCCCCACAGAATGTTTTATTTTGGAAATGTAAGTTTGTGTTATTGGGCTTCTGCCCAATGTATCAAAATGGTTTGTGACTATTTGAACTGTGCGATCTTTCAGGAATGTTCTGTTAATCTCTACCCCATTGCTAGAAGGTTAAGGCCACCCCCTCTCAGGAATGTCCTGTGACCCCACCCCCACTCCCATCCCTGCTTCATTGAGCATGCTCAGGTACCCTGTAGATCCCTATATAAGGAGGCTCTCATTTCTGGTAGAGTGCTCAGACTCCTCTGACCCTGCCAGGGCTCACTGGTATAATAAAAGGTTTTTCTCTACCTCTTCAACTGACCATTGGAGAGTGAGAGCTGTGACCCAGAGTTGTCACACTGAACTATAAAGCTCAGCTGTGTCTCAGAGGAGCATTCCAGAATGACCACACTGAGCTGTAAAGCTCAGCTGGGCCTCACAGCCGTGGCACTTAGCTGAAACACTGAGCTGTAACACTTGGTTATAGCACAGAGCTGCTCCGCTCTGCTGCAACAAAAGCATTTAAGAGAAATACAGATTTTCCAAAGTGTTTCAAGACCTGGTCCCAATCCAGTTAGCATATACTGCATCTCCTGTACTCCATAAATTACATCAAGAACCTTCTAATAATGCCCTCCCCACTCCTGTGAGACTCAATGTAGTCCCAGTTAATTTTTATCATTTGAAACCTAACAAACACTAATATATTGACTTTAATCATAAACAGGAGATGAAACTATAAGGTAGGACTCTTTAAAGTGGAGGATTCTAAGATGTAGTTATGGGGGAAGAGCTGGGGCAGATTCATTAACACTTGTACAATCATTAAACTTGGCATACACCTGTAATCCCAGCTACATGGGAGGTCGAGGCAGAAGGATTTTAAGTTTGAGGCCAGGCTGAGCAATTTAGTGAGACCATGTCTCAAAAGAGCAAGAATATAACTAAGTAGCAGAGTGCCTGCCTAATGTGCATGAGGCCCTGGATCCAAACCAGAAAAAGAAGTTGTAAAATTGAAAAAGTGAACACAAAATCACTGTGGTCCTGACCTTGATGCTCAGTTTTCACAATAAGATGTTTAATAATTTAAGTACTTTAAGTCATCTCCCTCCTGTCTCTGTGTTAATTTCATCACAGTCATCCTGTAAAATACTATCTGCATGATTAGTAACATACCATGGTAAACCTTCTGAGTTCCTGCTTCAATTGTGAGTTTTCCACTCCAACTGAAGAGACTGCAGTAAATATTATATTCACCAAGGTAAGTGGATCAGTGTCCCCATCATCGGACAGTCCCAGCCCCAAGCCAGAGTAAAGCAATTGGCTGGGAAAGTGTCTCTTTCTCCAACTGAGACGTGGGCTCAACTATTCAAGAAGATATAGGACTCAGTATTTAGAAGAGTGCAGCCACCACCTACCTGCCTTGCAAGTACAAGTCTCTGAGTTTGATCCTGGTACCAAAAAGAAAAACAAACAAACAAACAAACAAAAAAACCCCGATATGAACTCCTGGGATGACAGGTGCTGCTGTTTCTGGAAAATGCAGCTCAGCCAATACTTCCATAGTTCTGTGATTAGGTGATGTTTCTGATGGCCAACAGGGCAATTTGCCCATAATGCTTCAGCCCCTACAATTTTATTGTCTCGCTGGTGGAAATATAAGTTAGTCCAAACCCTATTAAGGTCCATTTATTAAAATCCATCATAAAAATGCACCTACGTATTTACTGCAAAAATTCATTTTGGGACATTTACTCTTAAATCTACACTTACATGTTAGAAGTGAATTACAATACAGTATTTTAAAAGTTTAGAATAATCCAAGTTGATCAACAGTGAACTAGATAAAAAAATTGATTTATACTGAATTAGATAAAAAAATTCATTCTATGGAATGTGATGGCTATAAAAAGAATAGGCACTGTATGTAGTAAAGTGGAATGATGTGTGTGACACATTGGTAAAACTGATGTTTGTACAGGAAGCTGCTATTCCTACCTAAAGGAAACTATATATTTGTATTATTTTGGATGTAAATAAAAAATCTGTAAGAGTACACAAAAGAAAGTTATAAAAAATGATTGCCTCTAAATAGAGGATTTTGGCAATAGGAAATGAAGGCTTTTTACTGTACACAACTGTCCATACCTCCTGAACTTTAGACTGTCTACAGCTTTCCCCATTATAAAAATAAAATTTTAATTTAAAAGGTAGGGGTGGCATGTTTTAAACAGTAGTTCCCAAATGCTAGTCTGTAAATGAGTGGATGCCTGAGTATTTTATAATCCATCGTGAAATCAGAAAAAAATTGTTGTGAATTTTTCATAATGCTGAATTTAATTTGAAGGACCAGGGTTTATCCTTAAGTATTTAGTATAGAGGTGTCAGTAAATAGTTTATGAACATAGTGTTTATTTACACAGACAAAATTAAAAGTTGCCATCCTATCGGTTTCTCAGAATTGAGTCCTGAAATCTTAAAGCTTTAGAATGACTTAGAGTTGACTTCTGTTCTCATTTTTTACCCAATATTTTGGGATGCATTTCTTCTGTGTATTTCATAATGTCGGCTAAGTGATGAATTATAGCTGAAGGATTTTCCACATTCATTGCATTCATAAGGTTTTTCTCCAGTGTGATGTCTTTGATGTTTCTTAAAGGATGAATCATGCCTGTAAGCTTTTCCACAGCGGTCACATTCATATGCTTTCACTCCTGTATGAACAGTTTTATGGTTGCTAAGGTGTATCCTCTGCCTAAAAGCTTTCCCGCATTCCTTACATTTGTAGGGTCTCTCTCCAGTGTGGATTCTTTGGTGGTGTGTAAGATATGCTCTATGACTAAAGGTTTTGCAACATGCAGTGCATGCATAGGGCTTCTCCCCAGTATGAATTCTTACGTGCTCACTAAGGTGTCTGATCTGTCGGAAGGTTTTTCCACATTCATTGCAGGTAAAGGGTTTCTCTCCAGAATGAGTCCGCAAATGCTGGATCAAGCTAATGTTCTGACTGAAGGCTTTCTGACATTTATCACATACATAAGGTTTTTCCCCAGTGTGAGTTCTGTGATGTTGATTAAGTGATGAGCGATGCCTGAAGGTTTTGCCACATTCCTCACATTCAAAGGGTTTCTCACCGGTATGGATTCTTTGGTGTGTGTTAAGAGATGCACTTTGACTGAAGGCCCTTCCACACTCCTTACATCTGAAAGGCTTCTCACCAGTATGAATTCTCATGTGTTCAGTAAGGTGAATGGGTTGTTTAAACATTTTTTCACATATATTACATTCATAGATTTTTGTTCTTATGCAACTCATTGGATGATTAATCAAGTCTAATTTGTATTTGTTTCTTTTTCTAGGGTTGTCACATTTGTAGTGTTTCTGTTCTAAAATAACATTTGAACTCACAATATTTTCCCCAAATTTCTTAGCTTCTTGGCCTCTCTTTTTGTGGGACAAAATGGCTTCTCTCACATCTGCCCAATAGGTTTCCTGGTGACCTTCTACAGTATCATCATATCTGGAGACTTTTCTTAGCGTGGAATAAATGACATCATTGCTTATGAACCTTTCCATCATAATGCCATGATATAACTGTTCCTGGGATATGTCATTCTTTGGGGCTGACCTGCTGGTTTCTGTCTTACTCTTGAAGTCTGAAAGAAATGAAAAAATGCAAGTAACTTTTACTCATTTTGCTTTGAAAAAAAAATCAGTTCCTGTACTGGTTACAGAGTAGAGACAAAGATAACTATATTTAAATACAATTATGCAGCCTGGAGAAGTACTGAGAACTGAAATCAACCAACAGAGAATGTTAAATCTATCTGAGTCTTTTACTCCTGTTTTTTCTACTATTACTAAGTCATGAAATTTCAATGTTTGAAAAAATATATGTATATATTTTATAATATAAAATATAATATATAATATAATGACTATTATATCATATATAATTATGCAATATAA